GAAAAACATTTTGACTTACTATTTCATAATTCTGATTTAGTATCGGATGATTTTTAACTTTTGGCTTATTAGCTCGTAATTTTGATCATGTAAGTTAAAATTTGACTTAGTATCTCATAAGTTTGACGTAGTAAGAAAAATATTTGACCTGGACCTTTATTGTCAAAGTGGAAAACTAAATACAAAAAGTCAAAATTGTGCCTATTATAAGTAAAATTTTGACTTACTATTGCATGATTCTGATTTTGACTAAAAGTTAAATTCTGACCCAGTATTTCAAAAGTTTGACTCAGTAAGTTTAAATTATTAGACTTATTATCTCATACTTTTGATGCAGTAATTGACTTACTATGTTATACTTTTGATTTTGTATTATTATTCAAAGTTATAATATGTCTATATATATATATATATATATATATATATATATATATATATATTATTACATTACATTATCCCAAATGTTTCCAGCAATTCTCAAACCTAGAGATATCTGTGATTTTAATATGGTAACGCTCTGTGTCATTTGGTCACCTGTCAATGACATCATATCCCCTATGTGCAAGCGTTGGTGGTGTGGTTACCTGCTAGAAGCTCAAAATGGACTTTTAATCCAGGTTTAAGCCACAATAACTTTTATTTTAACCGGATGAAAGATTTTAATCATCCGACATCTGAATGTTAAGTTATCAGAAATAAAAAAAGTATCTGAGTCACTGATACTTAAAGTTAAACTGGGTTCCTAATGATTTAATGCCCTAGTCCGTTTGTTATGGAGAGGATGAGCGCCAGCAAAAAACTTCTGATTCACAAGTTGTCAGAGAAACAATCAAAACAAAGGTTAGCATCAATCTCAGCTCCCAACTCTCAATGCTCAAACAGTGACTTTAGATGTGAAGCTGCTTTATTCAGTGTTTTTAACGGTTGTAATCACCGGGTCTGTTTTGACTTCCTGAACCACTCACACTGGAGGAATCAAAACCAGGAAGAAGCTTACGGCAATGGCGGTGCAGACAACAACTCCCATGATCCTACGCTGTTTCAAGATGTCACCCATTGTCGTCTTTCGTCATTGTTTTGATTGAGAGACCGCTAGAGGCAGAAGGTTCAAACTTTGCGTCTCATTTTGACTGAGAAAGTTGAATTTCGATCCACTATTTCATCATTTGTGTTTACTGTGAGTATTTTTATTTTCATAATCCCTATTTTTTTTTAATGTCTTGGCAGAAATTGACCTCCATAGATTTTGCCTTTGCGGTTGTGATATGCTGCTCTTTGGGGGAGCCTTGCTGGAAAATGTTAATTTCACCATTATTTCCCTCAAGGCGCATGGTTAATAAAATTCACAGGACTATTGTTTTATCCATATAGGTCAATTCATCCCCAGTGTCTGTAATTGCATCATGTTAACCTCCAAAAAACTCCTCTCACATGTATGAAATACTACCAAGTACTCCCAGTGTGTTTCCACACTTGTCTTTTCAAATGCTGAAGTTTAGGAACTGTAATGGCCGATAGAAACATTAAGCGGTGAGCGCCACAGTTGGAGTGTAATAATGCAATAACAGTGCAATAACATGAAATGGATGATGAGGAGGAGGTGTTACTATTATGTATGAGATCACTTGACAGTGGTGCATTAGGAGGCTTTTTCTTCAGCAGCAGTGGACATGATGACAAAACATCTGGCAGCAACTGCACATCCCACAATACATAAGACATTTTCCGTTTTACCAGATTCTACTTTTAAATGATGTTTTATTCATTCATTAATTAATTTATGTAAAACGTCATAAACACAAGTAATACTTTTAACTGTAAACTTTAACTGAAATTAACATAAATGCTGTAAACAATAAAAATACATAAAATTTATCAATATATCGCAGCCTGTAAAGCTTCTTCATGAAGACAAACTCATTCAGAATATTATAATACCGTCATGTTGCTGCCAAAACTTCAATAATTTAAGTATAATTTAAAATTTTATGTTGTTTGGATTGTTGTTTCTCTTGAAGAATCACACTGGACATATTTTCAGCTTTTATCACTTTTCATAGACTAAATATTTCATTGATTTAAAAAAACAGCTAGATGAATGCATTACGTTAATTAATGCATAATGGAAATAGTAATTAGCTGCAGCCTCATTGACGATACAGCATTGACAGATAATTTAAAAAAACTATGAATTGGAGATGATAAATAATAATGATAATCTGTGTCGAGCAAATCTGCAAATCTGAATTCTCATCCCGTGGGTGGCAGCCGGTATTAATTTTTGGACCCTGATTAACAACTGTTCCCGTGACAACCCCGCCAAAATCACTGCTCAACTCTGACTCTGTATAATACACACAGTTGTAACGGTTCAGTGTCTCAAGTATCACCTCTAATCGCAGCAAATCCAACACAGTCGGCTCTCATATCAGGATGTGTCGCTGACGACGGAGTCTATAAATAACAAATTAGCAAAGCTTTGATAGACACAGTACATGGGTTTGTGTTGCCTGATGAGAAGGAAACAAAACAAACAAGCTCTGAGTCCCACCTCTCCCTTCACTCCGTCCCAGTGGTCTGAACAATCTGCTCTGTCCCACTGGAGTGACTAGAAATACTCTGTTTCCCCTGTATACGTGTGTGTCAGTGTCTTGCATTTCCTAAACTCAGTTTTTACCTGAGCCTTTCACCCTCCTCTACTTCTTATCATCCTCCCCCACACACACACGGCTTTGGCTTTTTATCAGCCAACACCTTTCTCCATGTGTCTGTGTCTCAGGTGATGCTGGTGGGGGATTCAGGTGTGGGGAAGACCTGTCTGCTGGTTCGCTTCAAAGACGGAGCCTTTCTAGCTGGAAGCTTCATCTCTACTGTGGGTATCGACTTCAGGGTAAGTGCGAACACGTACACACTCGGGATGAAAAGCGTACCTCAGTTCAGTGCGACTCTTTGGGTTTGGACGTTTGTTTGGAAAGCTTCGGGAAATGCGACTCTGGCAGAACAACATATATCAGCGACAGCAGTGTGAAGCTTTCCAAATCACTTTAAATGCTTGTCACCGCGTCTGACAGAACGTAAACACAGAAAATAGCCCCCTGGATTAGCTATTATAGCTTGCCGGCTAACCTGGCTAGCTGTTTGATTAGTCAACTAGCAACCTATGTATTGCAATAGAAACAAATATCAATCACTTGCACATCGTTTCATATATAGCACAATTACACTTCAACACAGGTGCAACAAAAACGACCTGAAGGGACACACGTGGCGAATGCAAAGTTAGCATGACGCATCGTTGGAATGGACACAATTATAAGAGGAGGGAGGTTGGAAAATACCACATTTCCTTTAAACTCGTAGTATGCCACCGGATCCTACTTTTCCCACAATGCAACTTGACTTCGTCTTTCTTTAAACCCTCACTGCAGGTTGAATTCCCTCCTTTCATAGGCTTGACTAATACTTTCTATGACAAATAATTGAAGTTTGAACATTTCCTGTTTGCAGAGAACTGAACACGACTTGTCAGGATTGAATTCTTTGATCAAGAGAGTGTAATTTTCCTAAAAAAAAAAACAAAAAAAAACTTGCATGCAGCTCTAACAACGGCGCTTTAGGAGCCGATGTTCTGGTTCAGCTCTCTTTCCTATATGAGAGTGTGACTTGCAAGGTGTTTAAACCCTGCCGGTCCCTATGGGATACAACACATTTAAGATAAATTAAAAAAAAGGTAATTTAAAGTGTGATTATTTATTGACGGGCTAATCCTTTCTTTACTGCTAATGGCTAACCCATTTTCTGCCCATTGTGCCCCGGGGGAAAGTGCAGACGAGGGTTACACTGCCACTAAAGAACAGCTTCTCTTTTGAGTGTTGCAGCCGCAGACTAGAAGCAGTGACCTGTTTCAGTCTTTTACTGTCTTGATGCTCCCGCAAGCGAGATCCCTATAACTTCACAATCTGACACAGCTGTTTGTGGAAAAAAAACCTTCCCTGAGGAGATATTCTCAGCCCTGATGCTGTCATCCAGACTGAGTAACAGGAGAGCTGGTGTAACAGTAAGAGAGAGGTTAAGTTCCAGTGTATCGAAGCCAATAGCAGGAAGGAGTGCTGAGCTGAAAACACACTGTTGATGCCGCCCAGCAGGATGTCTTATGATGTGTGTTTACAGTGCTAGCACAAATAAGAGGCACCACAGTGTGTGAAGTTACCAGAACCACACTGCGTATAAAGCACACAACAACATAATGTTTTACCCTGGTAGCAGGTGACTTTTATGTTGCACTGTAGCCCGTCTCTTAAGCAACGTATCAGCCAGCAGAGGAAGTAAAAAGTCCAATCAGACGAATGTGCCAAGCGAGGACGCAGCTTTGAAATGAATGCTGCTTTCCTCAGGCGATAATGCTGGAAAACAGGACGGTGGTGTGGAATACAGGATCACACAAGAAAATAGAGCAGTCTTTTATGGGCAACGTAGATATAACTAATCGTCTTTTTATCTGCATCTGTGGAAGAAAGTCTTTGCAACAAGAAAGAACGGTCACCGTCACTTCTAAAAACAAACAATAAAGAACACGCACCTCCAGGAACGAACAGCTCCTCGATCAGAAAACCTCATTGTTTGCAAAGACTTCTGAAAGTCTCTGTGACATCCAGATGTGGCTTCAGTAAATGTATTGGATGCTATTGGAGCAGTGTGCGGATGCTTTGTCTGCGTCTCCCCTCATTATCACTCCTATATATGATGGGACTGTCCGCCCAGGTACTGCAGGGTGACAGCATGAGCAGATTGTGATGAATGATTTATTGGTTATTTCAAAGCAACACCATTCAAAATATAGAATTGCAACTCACTCCGTTTTTTTTTTTCTCTGCTGCGCACTCACAGCTCTCACATACACACATTTGTATTTCTATACATGTAAGGACTCAGCTCATTCTGCAGCCCTCAATTCATGAAAGTACATGAGCTGCTTTTAAAAATAAAAAGTGTTGGTATCAATATCGATACTGGCAGTTCTGGCTCTGTGTTACTTGGTATCGGCTTGAATTAATGCGTGCACCATAGGCATGCTCATGAGGATGGGGGATTATTATTTCAGCGCTTCGCACATGTAACGAGCAGACCTTTCAACACTACGGACCCATGAATGCACCATTTTCACTCCCGGGTGCTTTAGGAAGGAGTGAAGCTCTTTAGAAAAGATGGACCGTCTCTTTTCAGTTGTGGTGAAAACAAACTGGGACCATTCGGTTGTGAATGTTTCAGTGTTTTACAGATACGTCTGGTCACCGTACGCTAGGCTAAGCTAACGTTTGCCGGCAGTAGCTTCATATTTAAATATGAGAGTGCTTTCAAATTTCTCTTCACTCTCGGCAAGAAAGTGAATAAGTATTTTTCCCCAACACCAAGTGTTAACCTTTAAACCTCTTCTTTTTAGAAAAAGGGAGGGCCATCTGAAATGTCCTCACTCTCAACGTGTCAAACTTTTAATTGGTTCTCACAAAGATAGATGTACAAGAGAACGCACACATCAACTTCCACTGGCTTTTTAATGTGCTCGCTCGATCTCACTCCGCTTTAATCTCCTGTTTTGTATATATTTGATGTCTGCAGCTCTTTATCTCTTCATTTTATTCTTAGCGATGTGACGAGACGCTGAAGGAAAAAGCACTCCTACAGTGTTTTGAAATTGTTCTGCTTTGACAGCTTACTTATTAAAAACTTTAAGAACATTGTGAACATAGACATGAAAAATGATCCAGGTTTGTTGGCGCACTTCAGTATGCACTTTGTTTAGTGATAAGCATTTTGGAGAGTTTTATTATTAAGGCTTGTGTAGTGGCTGTGACATGATATGATACTATTTTTAAATAGCAGAAGCCACTTGTCTATGTTTAACCCTCCTGCTATGGATAATGCTATCAGTTCATGCTAAGATGTCGGCACTGGGCACCAGAGCTTGTTATCTCCATGACACGTGGATCAGCCGTGTTCTCATAACTTCATGGGGTAAATGACCAAAGGGCAAATAAGCTCAGCGAATTTCTTTAATTGACACTGTTCACTGATATTTGATGTAATTCATTTTCAGCAGCTCGCAGCGCAGTAGAGGTCATCTTGACTTTCACCTTGTGCTTAATTGAAATGGGTAAAAAAAGGATTTCCTTCAGCGTTAAATTGTTCTTTGAGGTGATTTAGTTGATGTGTTCTTTGCTTAAAGCCATTGGACAAAGTTGCAGAAAATGGTTATTAGGACGTTTGTATAACTTTTGTTTGGAAAAGTTACGGACGGATAATTCAGTTTGGTCTTCCTCATGTTGTTAAGTTAATACTGATCATTTTTATTTACTGTTTCCTGACAGTTTGCGGACAGTCTGAGAAAGTTAGAGCTACAAAGTGTGATACAATATGAGATGATATACCAGCTTGTTATCTGTTCACACGTCGTCCAAACGACCCCGTTGTTCTTCTGTTGGAAATAATCACATCTCTGTGCTTTGGTGTTTCTCCCAGTGTGAATACAGGGCGACACTAAGTTGTGCCCATCAGGCAGCTCTGAGAATATATTGGGAACGTTGGGAATAAGCTGTGCTGTAAACTGCTGCTCTCTAGCTAAAAGCTGATATAGTGTAGCTGTGAGTGCAGCACTGAGCGTTAAAAACCCTGCAGTTTTCAGCACTGTCAGGATTGTGCAGCAATGTGACCTTTTACATTCAAGATAATGAGGAGTAGGAGTCAGCACCCATAAAAAAAAAAAAAACTTTTTGGAAGAGGGCGCAACCTAACTTCTTCCTGCCTTTTTCCGTCCATTTATATTTCTCTTGACAGAATGAGACGGTGAGTCAGAAATCAAAACTTCAAACACTCCTCTTGTCTTGTCTCCTCCCTTCTGTCTTTCGCTGGGAGAATTGTTAAACTCGCCGATGAGATTCATCCGTTTCTGCGGTGGACGATTAGCAGGGTGTGTTTCTGCCTCTTCTCCCTGCTGTCCATGATGTGTGTGTGTGTGTGTCTGCACATCTAATCATGTGTGCTGCCTCCTCATTTCCATAGTTTGGCTTTTCGTCTCCCTCTCGCCACCTATTCGCTCTGCCTGAAGAGATGCAGCACAGCACCGGACCGGTTAATCATTAAACTAACTGCCTCACCCGTGCACCGACGCAGATGGTTTTCTATGCATGTGAGAGAGAGAGTGTGTGTGTGTGTGTGTGTGGCCTGGAAGGTGCAACAGCCTGCCAGAGCATGACAGGAGGATAATGTTCACCACCCGCAATGCCCTTTAGAGATAATTGCCATGTGACATAGTTGCCGTGTGCGATTGTTTGTGTGCGCGCGACCGGCTAGCACCTAACTCTCGGAGGAGGAACAGCTGTAGGAAACAGCTGCCTTGAAGCCACAACATCTTTACTGAGAATGTTTTAAAGTTCCTCCCCACACATGTTTTAAACTATGTAAAAAAAATACTCTGCTATGATTAATATTTTGTTTTCCCACATAAAAAGTAGGTCGACCTGAGAAAGAGCACATCACACGAATGATTAGTTAAAGGTGCAACCTGTCGATTAGATTATGAGTAAAGTTACAAATCCATTCATTGCATTATATTCATGATGTAACAGCTGAACGGGAGGAAGCTGCTGAACCCGAGAACAAATGGCGCTAGTAGTGATGGTCCGCGGTGAGAGGAGGGAAATGACGCTGGAGAAATCACTTCATCCTCTTCAGTTAAAGAGGCAATATTTTAACTATTTTATTGTATCTCATTGTCAGGCTTTCTTATTTGATTTGTCTTTTTCATTTTTCCACACTCCAGACTGCACCAACCTCCTATGAAAAGTGCTATACTAATAAAGTTTGATTGATTGATCGGTTGAATAAAGCGTACCT